ACAACAGAGAGGGGATAGGCTTAATTGTTGTGTTTAATGTAGAAGGGGGTTACCCGTTACTACTAGTTCCTACCAACATACCCCCCCCCCCCCCCCCCCCGGCCGCATACAAAAATAAAAAATGCTCATGCTAGGTATGTGAAGAAGGGAAAAATTATATTTATTTTTAAAAAATTAAAATGATTCATATTTTGATTTTATTTTTAAGATTTATTCTTAGGATTTTAAATTCTTTTAGGATTCTAGGATTTTTTTATATTTTTATATTTACTATTCATGAGTACTATTCATGATATTGTTCACAGTTAATTGTTCACGTAATACTACTCACGTGTTACTATTCATGTGAGTATTTTTGAAATTTTAGTATTATTTTAGGGGTATTTTAGAGTCTTAGTCAGTGGTTTAAAACCGGATCCGGCACCCCAAAAACCCATCCGGATCAATGAATCGGCCGAATCGGACTGACTAAACCTTAAAAAAAATCTAAAAAAATTATTAAATTCATTATAAATGTTGTTTTTTAGGAATCCAATAAGAAATACGGGTATTACATTAATAACTATAATTTTTTTTATCAATTTGCGAATATTGAGATGTTCTTTCTTTGTATGAACTTATGCTAACCGTTAAATTTGCCTCACATAAAAAAAAACATCAAATTATCATGGATAAAGTATATAATCATACATAGATTACAATAAAGAATGGATTAAATAGATGAAAAAATAGGCATTAAAATCTAGAAATTGACGAAAAACCCTAATCCGCTAAAAAAACAAACCCAAATTATTACAACCAAAGTAACTATAATCCAAAATTATTACAACTTAACTAACTACAATATTATATACTAAAATTGAAATTGATGGTTTATATTTTATAATTATTTTATTATATAAATAATAACAAATTCAAAATATCTTCTAATATCATCTAATTTAAAATGTATTATCGACAATTGCAAAAAAAATAGTACATTACATGATTTATAATGTAAATAAATTAATAAAAAATAAAATATTTGGTTATCAATGTAGAAAATTTTAGAATGCGTACCAATTTTTGAAATAACACTTTCATTTTTTTAAAATTTATTTTTTTAGATTTCTAGAATAAATTTAGTGGAAGAGATTATTAGTAGAGACAGAGAGAGATTCAAATGGTTTCATTGTATGAACCCTATCTTAAAATTAATATTCCTAAATTTATGTTAAAGATTACCATGTTATAAAAATAAAAATTATAATTAGATCGGTTATTCTTAGGTTGTATTAAAAATACTTATTGTATTAAGAAACACCTTTTATTTTTCGACAAGAAATACTTGTTGTGTTACCTTTTCTTCTTCTTTTTTTGAGAAGAAAAAAAAGAACATGTTGTATTTCATTTTTTTTGTGCTTGTTGTATTGCTTTTTATTTTTTTACAAGAAAATAGCAAAATGATGCTACCAAAGTACTTTTTATTTTTTATACCTTTTATTTTATTTTATTGTCAAGAAATACTTGTTTTACTACTTTTTTTTTTTTTACAAGAAAAAAAAGAAGATGTTGTATTACCTTTTTTAAGTAAAACAAATTTTTTCTTTTTATTTTTTTGATGATATTATTTTCTTCGTTTTATTTTTTTTTGAAGACAATAATGTTTTTTGTCTTTTATTTTTTTGATGATTTTATTCTTTTTGTTTTATTTTTTTTTGAAGATA